AGGACCATCTGTGTATTCATGATGTTTCAATAGAGCCAGGATACACCGTCCAACTAAGTTAGAATTAGCAAATGAATGAAAAAAGAGTGAATTCATGCTGAAGTAAGCAGGTGTGACAAATTCATTGAGCTGCTTTTGAAATGCTGCCATGTTTGGTGTCTAGAACCTCGCCTGTGATGGAAGTAGAGTTTGGATTAAAAAAAATAAATAGAGGTAGTCTGAATGTGTATGGTAACCAATAAACAGGCTCCATTTGTTTAGCTTAATCTGAAAGTTTTTCCTTGATGGGAGAAAATGTGCAGATTATGTCCCTGTGTGTGTGACTATGTGTGTATGTCGAGAGTAGACTTGATCTATGCAGAGCATACAGTCCATAGTTACTTACTTACTTACACACACACACACACACAACACACACAGCCAGGTGGTGGAAATCCCCGTCACAGTAGCAGCCCTCTCGGGAGAGTATACCCGGCCGGGTCCAATATTCTTTCCAAAGCCTTTTATCGAGCAGTTTACAAGTTATGAATGAATATGTTTTATTTGGGGAAACACGGTATTGACAGCCACCTATCAATAGTAATGTGACTATTGTCGAGGGTCTGTCAATATTAATGTAATTATGATGTAGAGGGATCAGAGGGATGCCGGAGTCGGGGGCCAAGTAACATCTCCTGCCCACTGCCATATCAATAGCTGGGATTGCTATTGACAGCTTCCCTTCAGACTTGCAGCACTTGCCAAATATATAACAAGCAGACACTTCAGTCAATGCCGGGCTGCCTATAAAAATTAAGCATTTGAATTTACAGGGCTTTTACTGTGGACAGCTGGAAATCCATGTTCCTTATGTAATAGTCAAAAGTCACAGTCAATGCCAGTGTTTACAGAGCACTCGTGTGCTGTGTGTTAGAGAGGACAGACACTACAGCATTTGCACACAAAAAGCATACACAGATACAAGCAGACAGACTCTTTCTGTCTGATGTATTCAGTCACACGCGCACACACCTGATGAGATATATTGACTTGATGATTCTCTCATGGGTCAGACAGCCAAACGACCCAGAGACAAAATGCCCTCTCTTGCAGAGTCGTCGGCTGGCGACCAACAGAGTCAGACGGCGGGTTAGAGGAGTTCACTGAAAATCAACAGAAAATCACCTGAAAAGTCTGGGGGCTTACTTTTCTATCAGAGCTGTATAAAATACTTTAAAAACATCTTGCTGGGAATATTAAAGGGTATTTTGATTCAGGTCAGATGAGAGTCCCCCCCCCCTCCCCTTGTTCCCTTAGCTTGTGTGTCTTGTTCAGACAAAGATAGTGCACTGACTCAAGTCTGACTGCCATAGCTTACAGACAACAACAACAACAACACGAAACAACAACAATATCCAATCTAACGGGGAACAGACTGCAACATAGCTTCAAGGCAAAAGGGGGCCATGACCAGTGTGAGATGAGGAAACAAAAAGCGTACAGAGCATCAGACTGAAGCCTCGCAGCTGCACCGGGCCCTCTGGAAACTAGACAACGGGCTGTAACGACAGCAACCCAACAGAAAGATGGATGGACAAAGAGACCGACCAAAAAAGACAGACACGTCAGAGACAGCACGTCATGAAACCCCCAGCTGGGAGCTCCGAACTACTGTCTACTGATACAGTGAAGGGGAATAAAAACTGGGGGCAAAGATTGCTAAGGAGAAGGGAAAAAAAATGAGGGAGGGGAAACGCAGATAAGCACAAACCTCTCCTTAGGAACTGACCTTGAGACTGGCGGTCACAATAAAGGAGGAGGGAACATTCCTGAGGCGTACACGGCTCAGCCATACTGAGGTGTGGGCATCAAGGGAATAGCCTATAGACAGAGGAAGGCTGCACTTTTCTTCTTGACCTTGGCTTTGGTGTCTAGGGAGGGGATGAGGGGTGTTTAGGGCAGGGGACTAAAGACTAAGGGATGCTGGGAAGGTGGAATATCTCTTGGGGATTGTGTTTTTTTCTGCGGCGGACAAGTGTTCTGAAGCTGCACAGGAGGCTATCATCCCATGCCAGTTGGAAACTGTGTGTCCAAAGGTCTCGATTTAGCTCCTGGCGTGGTGTAGTGCTCAAATTCCTAACCACTTAGCTATGGTTGTTAGCATAATATATTTGCTGAAATAATGCATAAATGTTCACTTGGCTTTCTACGATGCTTGTAGCAAGAAATAGGCTATGCATTGGCAAAGCATGCTGGATTACAACTTTACATTTTCTTCTTTTGCTCATGTAAATTAATTTGTGTAAAAGCTCTGGTGAATAAAACCTATTTCTCTGAGCACTCCCGTCTCGGTTTTTTTTTCTCTCTCTCTCTCTCTGTCTCTCTCTCTCTCTCTCCCGCTCCCTCACTTTATTGCCCTTCTTTAGCCAGGAACGAGCGCGGGCCTATTAGCCATGGCCTGCTAATGTCCTCACTATGAAAACGGATGGGAATGTCAGATTTAGAACTTTTAAGAGAGTGATGTCATACAGCAGACCACAGGCATTACGGGGACGCTAAGATTACCCAGGCGGTAACCAGACTAATTGTTATGAGTCTGTTTCATGAAAAATGAATGTGTGCAAATGCACAGAGGGTTCTTCAGGCTGTGTGTGTGCGTGCGTCACACACTAATGCTTTATCAAGGCTCTCCTCTTTCTCTAATCACCCAAGACTCCTCCGAGCCATGGGGTAAGGGCCAAGTTAATGCCTGAACACCAAAAAAATACACATCAGTTAGAGCAGCGCATCTGACACACAAAAAATGTGCTCGGTTTAATCCGGTTTGCTCAGAAGGTAAATTATTTAAGAGAATTAATTGATTTCATGAGTACGAAGGTTCAGTATGCGAATGCTGTAATAAGTACAGGGGTGTGCAAAAAACAACTTAAAAAGTAATGAAACATTTAGAGGGCAGGGAGGCACAATGAACGTGGAAGAAAAAGCGGAACAGCTAATAAAAGGCAGTACTGAAGTTGTGTCTTTCTTAGGAGTCAATGAGAGATCACTGGGGCCTCACCTCATGCAAATAAAATGTGTTATGCTGAAGAATATTTGATCAGCACATTCTTTAGCTTCTCTTTATGCATGAAAAACACGGGCGTAATAAAAGATAAAACATTTTTTTCTGTTTTTTTAATCCGTGCAACAATTAAAATGTCTTTGGGAGAGAAAAATTCTAAACTGAGGTGAAGCAGCTTTTTGTGTCCAATAAAATGTATGAGAATGTGAAGGCCACTGCGGGGTAAGAGAGTCTGCCGGTCGAACCCACTGTACAGATGCTACTGTTAGGAAATCAACTTGCATCTGTGAATCAATTTGGGAAATTGTTTGAGGGTTTGCTCTCGCTGCAAATTGTAACCTCGGTGACATGTTGACATGTTATACTTTCACCACATTTGGAAGTTTAAAGCCATAATTTATTGCAAAATAAAGAAAAAAAAGGACCTTCTGGCAATGTACACACGTTTCAGCTACAGCACTACAAATATGGAAAAAAAATACTTAGAGTCAATTAAATATGATGTATAATCTTTTACATAAGCACACTGGATGTTGAGAGAATATCTTCCATTGCCTATCTCTCATAACAGCTTTATGTAGGAGTTTTACATCAGTCTACCAGATTCAAAATTATCCAATGACACATCAGATAATTAATAAATGACGTATTTTATCCAGTAAAATGCTTATTAATAGTAGAAATTAAAATCCTCTGGCACTGTTGGTCAGAAAGACTATAACCATTAGTTGTAGCCCTTCTTCATGAAACATGTATGCACAATATAATGTTTTTTGTTCTGTTCAAAGACTAAAACTATTTTTCTTTCTTTGCACAGATAACCCCACGGCCTTTATCACTTGCCTTCATCTGGAAGCTGTATAAAATGACCTTATGACCCCAGAGTGAGATCATAGCCCAATTTAACTTCAGTGACTCCCTTAAAAACACACTCATTACACTAAGTGTTCAGCTCTGGAGGCACGCGCCTATACTTCAATCTCATGCAATCAGCTGCTCCACATTCACCTCATAACGGCATTGTCTCTTAATTTTTTAGCTCATGCCCATCAGTCTTTAACAACAACAAAACCCAAATCTGCTCCATTTTGATAATAAGGCAAGAGCATTATGTGATAATCACAGTGGGGATTAGGTTTTGGCAGAGTGTGCGAGAGCAGTGCAGTCAAAGCCACTGGAAAAGAGAGATATAACCAAGAGACAGATAAGAGTAGAGGAGTGATGATTGGGATGAGCGAAATGAAGTGAGTAGTCTCTTGAAAATCAATAAGATCAACTTTGCCTTGAATCTCAATGTGGAAGGATTTGATCTCTGGCACTGATTATTTAGGGGAATAATGGAATTATGTGCGGAGCAGTATAACATACTCTTGAAGGAACACACTCTCACAAGGTTACCATCCAAAGTTGCAGCTGGTAAATACACCTGGAGATGACTCGTAATGAATACTAATTCACCACAGTTGGTCATTTGAACCGTATGTACATCAACAGTCGATCGATTTAACTGATTGTAAATACAAACATGCAAAAAAGGGGGGGACACGTGTCGCTTCAGAGACACAGCACTGACACTGGACAGCAACAAGGAGATGATAATAACATTGGACGAGCCCGAGTCGTCACACCGTTTCAAAGAAGCAGACGTGGCGCGCTTGAGCTTCGTGTGGAAATGTCGGGGTATGGAGGAAGATACTGCAGACGTGAATGTTCGCTAAACAACAGAACGAAGATATATTTACCCATTTCTTTTTTTAGGGGAAAGGTGAACTCAGTGTAGCCCAGTCCTCCCTGATACGACGAAAACAATATGTATTTCCGGATTGTAAAACTATACCCCGCCTCTCAAAGGAAACTGACCAATAGTGTACGGGAACGTCACGATTACAACGCTAATCGTTGGAATTAGCCAATCAGAGCACACAGCGCCAACGCAGCGGCAAACTGCAGGGGGAAGCGTCGGTCTGTCTGGACTTCAATTCCTCCGTTGTAGTGACGGCACATAGCGACCAAGTTGTTGGAGAAGTCACGGTAATTCACACGAAGTAACCCAGATAATGTCTTACATGCACTCGAAATGCCACGCATTTACTTTTTCCAGGTTGCTCTACAGTTGTCTAATAATGTGAACTAACTTATAAGGCTGTGCAAACATTTAACTAGAGTGACCAGCTGGGATTATGAGTGTTAGCTAGTGAGCTATCTTTTTTTTTTTTTTTTCCTAGCCTGCGGTTTATTTCATAAACTGCTGAAAACTTTCACAGACATGAGCCAAAAGACAACAACAACAGAGTCAGGTGAAAGCTCGAAGCTGTCGGCTCAGGGAAGTGATACTTTGAACCTAGACGCTTTTTCAGGAGACATAGAGCTGAAAGTGTACATCCAGGGTCCTGGGACTGAGACAAACAACATTAAACAACTTCTAAACGAGTTTCAAGGACTTTACGAGCAGAGGTTCAGATGCCTGGAGCTGGACACTACTGTAACCCGAGAAGAGCTGCTGCAGGTGAGGAGGACTTCATGTTGATGTTGACACTGCTCCATGTGTCGTGGGTAGCGTGGCCGAGCGGTCTAAGGCGCTGGATT